CCCCAAAACCCCAAAACCCCAAAACCCCAAAACCCCGTTAAGGAGTATGAAAGTTGAACAGCTTATTAGGTTTTGAAGGGGATAGAAGAAGATTATGAGAAATTGGGAGTTTGACTGGAAAAGTATTAGCTAGGGTGTTAATCAGCATTATTTGGCAAGTTTTAAGCAAGGAAGATGTGGTTAAAATATTTTTGAGCTTTTTACGGTGTGATTGGTTTATCAAGTCTTTAAGAAATTTCTGGAATATCAAATATTTTCAATTTTGTGTAGGTAAATGATTTTAATTTACAAGTTTTAATCTAACACTTCTATCTCATTGCAGTTGTAAATTCAAAATAGTTTTACACTATTTAAAGTGCTCAATTTGCTCTCAAAATTTGTTCGAATGAAAAGTCATCTATACAAAACTCAAACTATTATTATTTCGTTCATTCTAAAAATTCTCCAAACTTCTTTGATTCCAAATTGTAGATTTTATGACCAAATGTTGGACTTCATAAGCTCTTATTACCAAATTTGCTTTTCAAATATTCAAATGTTAATAATCTTCAAATGCTTCTCTGAATTCTTCATATTCTGATTCATCGAACTTTGAAGGACTTATTGTAAGAATGAACTTTTCTAATTCTTCAAATAAGCCATCTGGAATAACAATATCTTTTAAGTTTTTTTCAAATACTGTTGGGCTATTCTGCAATGTTTTGAGAGGATTCTTAATAATGTACTCACTAATCTTACATATATCAGAGTAGCCATAATCTTCAGTAGAATCCAAAATTTTCTCAATTTCTTCGGGAGTAAAGAACGATTCCAAATTAGGAACATCATTCTTGAGCATAGAGAGTCTTTCATCTCTGTTCGGAAGTTTGCAATAAATTCTCTTATTGGCTTTCCTTACTATGGAATCTCTAACATCCCAAGGAGACTCAGTTGTTAGAATAGTAATATAATGAGGGGGATCAGGAATCCCTCCAGTTATTATTAAAAACTGAGTTCAGGCTCTCCTTATGCATTCATCAGGGTCTACAGTTAAATTTTCAATATTTCTAATGACGATGATCTTGTTAGTCTCATCTGAATTTTCTACGTAAGTGCTGATCATCCATTCTTCAAAGGTCTGGGATTCATCTGGTCTAATTGTGTTCCATTCTTCTTCCGACTTCGGTCAGTCAATTGCGACAACTCTTCAATCTGCTTCTTTAACAACCATTTCAATTAGATAGTCTTTTCCAGAACCTTTAGGTCCATATAACAAGAGTGTTTTAGGCCATAGATGAGGGGATTCTTGCAGAAGTGTTATCCCTTCTAGAAGATCGCGTTTTCCCTCCTCTTGACCAATTATGTAACCGAGAGGTTGCTTTTCTTTATTCTGGACTTTATCAAAAGTACCCAATATGTCAGCACTTTGGTATTCATTGGGGTTATCACTTAAAATATTAGGAGGTGACTTTGATTCTTCCTCCATTATTTGTTTTTATTCCAATTTTTATTTAATAAATAGGGGTTTTGGGGTTTTGGGGTTTTGGGGTTTTGGGG